TGTTGAGCTCCTCGTCGTTGCGGACCGCCAGCTGCAGGTGTCGGGGGATGATGCGGGTCTTCTTGTTTAAATTTAAATAATTAATAAAAACAGATGCAGATATTTTCTGAATTCACAAAACTTTACTTTCTAGAACAAATTATCAACCATTTTTTAAGCGTTTCATTTGACAGAGAGACAACAGCAGTGCCGGGGCGTGAGGGGGCCTGATGGGTCGGGGGGCTAATGGATTCCAGGAGGAGCAGCGTTCAGTTGCAGTAGTTCTGCAGGTCAAAGATGTTACACGGCTTGTGGCAGCACTGCTCCACGATTCCTCGCTTCACCATCATCTCCATCTGGTCCTTGAAGGCGAACTCGGCCACCTCGTTCTCGCCGCCCGCTGCAGCTCCGCCAGACTTCGGAGGAAGGAAACCTGAGAGACAGATGAAGGTAAGAGCTCTGAGCTCTGGTTTATGGAAAGGTTCTGTGTTTAAAGACGTCATGTTCTCACCCAGCAGAGGGTCCACGTCTCTCTTGGGGGTGTAGAAGAAGCCTTTCTCACTACAGACCTGGTAGAGGGTGTCGACCAGCTGAGCGCCACAGAGGTGCTGCGGGGGGGCCATGGCCTGGGAGCTCGCCGGCAATGATACGATCAGTAAGACGAGCAGAGAGACAGAGTGGAGCCACAGCGCCGCCATGGTGGAGGAGAGCTGAAACACACGTTTGTATCTTTTTATTTTTAAATGAAAGCTTGGAAATGTTGGCAGTGTCCTAAAATAAAATCCTATTCTTCATTTGAATTATTATTTTTCAAATCTAAATCAGCTGACTTTGAGTTTTTACATGAATACATCAGTGAAGATGTTTTAAATTATTTGACTTTGTTAAATCACAGGAACACACACACACACAGACACATATATGAAGAACTGAAGGTGAAGACAGAGGAGTAGGAAGAGAAGTGAGAGACACAGGTTGAGAATGGAGTTGAAGGACAAGAAGATGGAGGAGGATGAAAGAAGGAGAAGAGGAGAAGACTACCTGTCGAGGAGGAGGAGGTGAGTCTGTGATGAAGAGGAGGAGGGAAGCTGAGATATCAGGATGATGTGAGGAAGAGGAGAAGGTCTCTTCTGCTTTTATAGTCCATCACCTCCACCAGTGTGTGTGTGTGTGTGTGTGTGTGTGTGTGTGTGTGTCATTAGCTGAATAAGTGACAGTGTTTCTTCTGATTGAGCGACTTCAACACTTAGTAAAACAAACAGAGTTAATGACCCGACATGATCTGATCATCTCAGATCCTGATGATCAGCGGCTCCGCTCGGCTGTTACTGAGGATGAAAGGATGAAAAACGTCATCAAAGTCAAAGAGTGAAATGAGGATAAATGGTGTCAGTGAATCTGTGACGTATCTGAGGAACTTTAGAAGTCAGATGAGGATGTTTGATGTTTTTCATCCCGTGTCGTGACTCAGACATGAACACGGCTTCATACTCAGATGTTTCTGAACACGTGTGTTAGACCAATGATCTTTATGATTTTCAGCGCTGTCCTGGTTTGTTGGTTTTGCTGCAGCTGAACTTCACTAAACTTGGTGTCATGAAAGAATCTTTTCTATTTCAGTGCAGATCAGGAGACAGATCCAGGATTTATGTCTGTGTCATTGTGAGATAAACCGTTTTTAACACTTTCACTCATCATTTATTTAAAAAAACAAACATATCTAAAGGTCTGATATTTGTGAGTTTGTGTGATTTGATGCAGCTTGATTGAATTTGAGAAACTGTTGGTGAAGGTGTGATCATGATGATGTTGGAATTGTTAAGATTTTACTGTGATTGTGTGTTCTTTACAGCTCACACACACACACTACAGATGACACACAGCAGACGTTCCCTTCATCCATCGTTGCCTGCAGAGTCAGAGTTGAAGCTACATGTTTATAGTTTAACTGATTCACATGAAATAAGTGAGAGTTTCTGCAAAGTTCATGTTACATTTAAACATTTAATAACACACAATAAAATAACTTTATTGTCCATCTTAGTGGAAAATTGTCTTCGGCTCAACAAGCAACAACGTAGACACAGGGCTGTATTCTTGTCGTAGCCAATCTGTGGATTAGATGAGGTGCTCTATAACACCCCCTAGAGCTCAAAGGAAGAGAGGATAGGATTTATCAGGCAGGAAACTCGCTTTTGTCCTCTCAGTAATATATAATAATTTATTTTGATCACCGCTGACACGAAGCTGGAACGTTTCTTTCTGCTCTGCAGCTTCAGGGACTGAACCAGGCAGACTCCAGGTCACTGTGAACATTTCTTATGCTTCTGACAAGAGGTGTGACTATAAGAGAAAAGGTTGTACTTCTGGAGTTTCATTTAATTTCCTCGAGAAACACTTTGGAGAGAAATACAGAAACATCTGTAGGACGTCACTTCATTTTCTGTGCAGCCGTAAAATGTAACGTAGATAGAAGCTGAATATGGTCCGATGATACTCTCAGTATGTTGGTGCTGTCTGATGTGATATGTTATACATTTAACTGGTGTTATATACATATATAACTACATGTTATGTTATATACATATATAACTACATGTTATGTTATATACATGTATAACTACATGTAGTACTTCATATGAACTTCCTCTCAGCACAAACTATCATGAAATGGAATTTATTTATATGTTTTTGAGAAAATGTGCAACAAACAATTATTTATAAAAATATCCGTGAAGAACTGGTTCATGTTATACTGAACATCCGGATGTTCTGTAGCATGAACTGAAATATGATGCGATCATGTGATCTCACTGTAACTTCCGGTCACTGTAACTTCCGCGTCAAGCGGAAGCCCTCTGTGATTGGAGGAGTGCACTACCGCTGC